TTATTTTATTCGACGTGCTCTTCAAGTATAAGATGTGTGGTCCATTCCACCGATATAAAATGGTATTGACCAAAAGAGAAATCGAAAGTAACGAGCTAATTTACTTGTTGAGCAAATTTCTCATTTCAATATAAAAGCAACCAATCACTACTCTCATAGATACAATAGTGCTTTACAATAGTGCTTAAGCAAAAACATCTCATACTTTCAACATTTTCCAATACTCTTTAACAATGTCATCATCAGTTCCTGATTACTTGAGAGATGAAAATCTGACACAAGAAACAAGAGATCTGTTCTCTTCACTTCCACGAGAGAAAGGTTGGCTAGTGAGTCAAATGTATCAATACCAAGGAATTTGGCACACACCAGCTCTGTTACAAGGAATCTTAAACTGTCAAAATCACTTTCAAGCCAAAGATTCCGACATTATCCTCGTCACTAATCCTAAATCAGGTACCACTTGGTTAAAAGCTCTTGTCTTTGCTCTTCTTAACCGACACAAGTTTCCACTTTCTTCTTCTGGTGATCATCCTCTTCTGGTTACCAATCCACATCTTCTCGTGCCTTTCTTGGAAGGAGTTTACTATGAGTCTCCTGATTTCGATTTCTCTGAGTTGCCTTCTCCAAGACTCATGAACACTCACATTTTGCATTTCTCGCTTCCCGAATCCGCCAAGAGCTCGGCTTGTAAGATTGTGTATTGTTGTAGAAACCCTAAAGACATGTTTGTTTCCTTATGGCATTTTGGGAAGAAACTTGCTCCTGAAGAAACCGCGGATTACCCTATCGAAAAAGCGGTTAAAGCGTTTTGTGAAGGTAAGTTTATAGGTGGACCCTTTTGGGACCATGTGTTGGAGTATTGGTACGCGAGCCGCGAGAATCCGAGCAAGGTCTTGTTTGTTACTTATGAAGAGCTCAAGACGCAGACCGGAGCTGAGATTAAGCGGATCGCCGAGTTCTTGGGATGTGGTTTTACGGGAGAAGAAGAAGTGAGAGGAGAAGTGGAGGAGATTGTGAAGTTGTGTAGCTTTGAGCGTTTAAGTAATTTGGAAGTTAATAGAGAAGGGAAATTGCCAAATGGAATGGAGACAAAAGCTTTCTTTAGAAAAGGAGAGATTGGTGGATGGAGAGATACTTTGAGTGAGTCATTGGCAGAGGAAATCGATAGAAACATTGAAGAGAAATTTCGAGGTTCTGGTCTGAAATTTTCTTGTTGAATCGATCTTTGAATCT